TTTAAACTGTTATTTATTGCTTACAGAGGGACACTTTTTCAACTATTCTCCTATGAGAGATTGTTCTCCTTACTTCTACACTCCATACTCGGGACTCTTCGGATCCGTCGTATAAAGGCAAAGGACATTATGACTATTCTGCCTTTCAATAGAATTTTTTCCGAATAGTATTTTTCAGTTGCATCCTGTTGTTATACTAAGGCATAACTTTTTTCCAACTGCTATGATACCTTTGTTATGGCAAATATTATTTTGTCATTATTTTTTATCGCAATTTACTATTGATAATAATGCAAACTATACTAATCAAATAAAAATATGCTAAATTCCAAAAAGGTAGGATCCTTTAAATAGTATTGAAAATCACGTAATATGTTCATTGATTAAAAAAAAAACGATTGACTGACTTCGCTTTTATAAGTTAAACAAAAATATTTTGATGTATTGCAATTGAAGTAGTAACAGTACCTGCTTGTTGTGTTACAAAACTTTGCTAATCGCTTGTAACTATAAAATTAAGTCATGCGAACTAAGAACAAAGCAAAAAGCATCAATGTACACACCAGTTAACCTCCTTTCGCTGAGTCAAAGTCGAGTCGTACTCGAGAGATTCAATGAAATGTGTGAGTGTCAGTAGCGATTTGTTCATGTGTGTTAAACATCTCGTATAGTACGTGAGGGTAATATGGTCATCCGGTTAATATGGTCAATTTCTTATAACTCAAAAACTACAGCCTTGTTTGCATAGATGACTATGTGATACGACAGTTTTTCATCGGTCAATCAAATAATAAAGGATCAAAAGAGCGCTGCTTTATGGACACCATTTTGACAGGTGACATTATATTAAATATTTTAGTCGATTTTAGTATGGTGTAGTGTAGTTGGTTTTTTTAAGTTGATATTTCGAAGTGATCGTAATATAGCCAAAATCTTTTTGTTTTTTTTTTTTAGTTTAAATTAGTTATAGTACATATAGGACTTTGTGTTTTTGTCTCTGTCCTTCTCCTAGTTTTGGTTTTATAGGGCGGCAAAGTTTAAACTAACCATATTATCCTTACGTATCTTATAACTTATTAAAATATCATTTTGTTATTTTATTGGTGACTTGTAATCTTCTATATCACCCTATAAGTATTCTGCAGCAGGGCTATATACAGTTACCATTCCGTTATAGCCTATCAAAGTCTACTGCTGGACTCTCTGTGCCTCCCCCATAGATTACCGCACAGGAGGAATATTTGTCATTATTACAACGGTTGGCAGACGGCTTAACAACTACATTTTTTTTTATTTTTACTTATTACTAAGAAGACGTTACTGTCCATAACCTAGTTTGTTTGGTGTATGGGGTGGTGAAAATTTTTACACAGCCACTATATGGTACTGGGCGTTATAGGTATTATGGCGCAAATGGAAATCATAAAAACAAGCAGTATTGCTTGGCTCTGGGATCTACGTGGTAGAGCCATTCTGCAGTTATATTAGTAGTGTAGTTGTAGCACGAATAAGTTGGCTCGACTGGGGAAGGACCACGCTCTCACAGAATACCATCGTAAAATAGTAGCTTAATGCTGCAGTGTTGAGTGTAGAAAACTGGAGAACCTTTTTACTGGAAATGAGGCATTCCATCTTAGTCCTCTAATCCAAAATCCCGAAAACTTTCAGCTCGAGTTACACAACCGCTTTCAGTGCCTACAAGATTGCAATGCAGTGGACGATGTGAATGACAAGCTCGTGGACACTGTCCATGCGGTCGGAGTTAAGTTCTGCAAGACCCGCCGCAGAAGAACACAAAAACTCTCCGATCACACTCTTAATCTCAAGGCTGTTAGACGGGAGATGAGGCTGCAATCGTCAACAGATTTGACAGCATACAGGTAACTGAACAGACAGATCCCCAAATGCATGCGGCGAGACTTACGCAACTTTAATACTGCTCGTATTAAAGAAGCGATCGAGCGGAACCAGGGCTCCAAAGTCTTTGCCAGAGATCTGTCTGCCCATAAAAGCCAACTGTCAAGGCTGAAGACTGAGTGTGGCAGCATCGTTTCCGGGACACCTGAGATTTTGAGTGAGATTGAGAGGTTCTATGGGCAGCTGTACACATCATGGTTGGAGCCACACGCAAGTGTGAGTAACGATCCAAGAGCAAGTCTTATCCGACACTATTCCGATGATATCCCGGACGTCAGTCTGAGCGAGATTAGAATGGCTCTCCAGCACCTTAAAAACGGCAGGGCCCCAGGCGAGGATGGAATTACAGCGGAGCTTCTGAAAGCGGGTGGAACACCGGTACTTGAAGTCCTTCAGAAGCTCTTCAATTCCGTCCTCCATGGTGGCACTACTCCAGAGGAGTGGAGCAGAAGTGCGGTGGTCTTGTTCTTTAAGAAAGGCGACAACGCTCTCTTGAAGAACTACAGACCGATTTCCCTTCTGAGCCGCGTCTACGTGCTGTTTTCGAGAGTCATTACGAATCGTCTCGCACGCAGACTCGACGACTTCCAGCCTCCCGAACAAGCCGGTTTCCGAAAAGGCTTCAGTACCATAGACCACATACATACCCTGCGGCAGATTGTACAGAAGACTGAAGAGTACAATTTGCCACTTTGCCTGGCATATGTGGACTATGAGAAGGCCTTTGATTCCGTCGAAATTTGGGCGGTGCTGCAGTCCCTTCAGCGGTGCCAAGTTGACTGTCGGTATATCGAAGTGCTGAAGTGTTTGTACAGTAGGGCTACGATGGCTATCCGAGTACAGAACCAGAGCTCGAAACCTATCCAACTGCAGAGAGGTGTAAGACAGGGTGACGTTATATCCCCGAAACTCTTCACCGCTGCTTTGGAAGACGTTTTCAAGCTACTGGACTGGAAAGGATACGGTATTAACATCAATGGCGAGTACATCACTCACCTTCGATTTGCCGACGATATAGTCCTTATGGCAGAATCGCTGGAGGACTTAAGCACTATGCTCAATGACCTCAATAGTGCCTCCCAACGGATAGGTCTTAAGATGAACATGAACAAAACAAAGATCATGTTTAATGTCCATGTCACACCTATGCCGGTAGTTGTTGGGAGCACTATGCTCGAAGTTGTGGACGGGTACGTTTACCTGGGTCAAATAGTCCAACTAGGTAAGTCCAACTACGACCGAGAGGTCAATCGACGGATTCAACTCGGCTGGGCAGCGTTCGGGAAATTACGACACATCTTCTCGTCAGGTATACCTCAATCTCTGAAAACTAAAGTGTACAACCAGTGCGTGTTGCCAGTGATGACTTACGGATCAGAGACGTGGTCCTTCACTGCTGGCCGTATGAGGACGCTCAAGGTCGCTCAGCGAGCTATGGAGAGGGCTATGCTCGGAGTTTCTCTGCGTGATAGACTCAGAAATGAGGATATCCGCAGTAAAACTAGAGTGACCGACATAGCCCAACGGATTAGTAAGCTGAAGTGGCAATGGGCCGACCATATAGCTCGAAGAACCGATAACCGATGGGGAAGAAAGGTTCTCAAGTGGCAGCCTCGTACCGGTAGGCGTAGTGTAGGGCGACCCCCCACTAGATGGAGTGACGACCTGGTAAGATATGCAGGAAGTCGATGGATGCAGGTGGCTCAGGACCGTGCTTTGTGGCATTACTTGGGGGAGGCATATGTTCAGCAGTGGACTTGTGAAGTGCTGTGATGATGATGATGATGATCTTAGTCCTCACGGGTGACAGCGCATCTGCATTTTGATTTGTAATCGAGGATAGATGTAAATGGTTATGGGCCACAGCAAGCACTTACTATCAGGTGGACTGTGTGCTCGTTTGTCGTCAACCTATCCTATAAAAAAATCTATACATAGGGCCAAGTAGCACATCAATATACTCGACTAAGTAAAGGTTAACAAAGGACTGTATTGTTAAAAACGATGATGACGGTAAATAATGAATCATCCATTAATTCCATTAGAGTTTATCAAAAGTACGTTGCTGAATATAGACCTCTTCCATAGATTGACTAATAGGGGGTAATTCTGCCTTACTGGCCACGCTTGACAGGTCAGTTGGAGTGGATGGTAGTGACACAAATCAAAGATAATTGCAATAATGGATGTAATAACAAAACTGTGAATTCATTCTCTAAACACTAACCTAGAAGACGGTTATCCCACTAGTTAATAAGGGGAATCACTAAAAACCAACAGAGTAACGTGTTTCACGCGTTACCAGTATTGTTGTACCGACCTTCGAAAGTACATAGGAATATTAATTAAATCCCCTTCCAGCTCTCGGGCAACCAGACGCTCGGCGGGTCCTTAAAAAAGGCGGAGATTTACGTATGTTTTTTCTTGTTTTTTGTTTATAGCATTGGGTGACAAACGAGCACACAGTCGCTTCTAAGGGTAAGTGGATCCTGTGGCCCATAGACATCCACATTTATCCTCAACTAAAGATCAAAATGCAAATGCGTTATCACACCTGAGGACTAAGATGGAATGCCTCGATTCCAGTACAAAGGATCTTTGGTGCTCTATACTCACCATACGAAACACAGCAGCCTCACGCTGCTATTTTACGCTGGTATTCTGTGAAAGCGTGGTCCTGCCTCGGTTGAGCCGACCCATTCGTGCTACAACTATAATATAGCTACAACGAAGCTCTACCATGTATAAGTGTTTTAGTGCTAAGGTTAAAATTTATTAAAAAAATTATTTTCACACTTGAGTATACCTATAGATCATAAATTTCGTAGTCAATTCTTAATTATTTGTCTTCGGTGAAAGTAACCTAGATTAGAAATTGAGTGTGCCGGTTCGAAGATACACAACCCCGTACGCCATTACGCTATGTCTTACAGAATTGTTTTATCATATCAATACCGACCTAATGGTGACTAAAGCTTACTAAAGCTCAATACTTAAGCTACAAATATGCATATTTCAATTACACAGCGTTTCGTTATACTTCCTTCTACAAATCACAACAAATTGTGAGTCACAGTCCTCACCTGGCAACCTGTGTCCATATCAGCATAGTAGCCGGCAGCGCGGCCCTGACATGTAAATTTTGTCGGCAGGATCTTTGCAGTACTTCTGCCGTTCTGGAAATAAAAAAGAAACATGTTTTTTTAAGAAGAAATGCTTTGAGTGCGAACTGAGAGTAACTCAGATTTTTTTGGACGGAGGTAACGTTCCGAAATGTACGTTCTGTTTACGTAGTTTCCGCGTTTATTAAAGCAGCGAAGGAATTGGATTTCGTGAGTTTATAATATTTAGACATTATACATCATTCTTTTTATTTCTATTCTGGTTTTATTTAGTTTAATACTACTCATAATTATTACATTATCTCTTTAATAGGTAAGTATAAATAAGTATAATAAACAACTTAAAATATATTACGTAAAAAATTAACCTACTTGAAAACGGAGATAGCCAGTTTTTTTATAGAATAAGGTTGAAAAATGAACACCCTATTCACCTGATGGTAAGTGGATGCTGTAGCCCATAAACATCTACATCTATCCTCGATTATTAATCAAAATCAACTGCATTTTAAGCACTGCATTATTATTATTACATCACACCCGGAAAAAAAATGGAATGCTTCGTTTCTAGTAAAAAGAATCTCTGGTTCCCTACATTCACTTTACGAAACACAGCAGCATTAAGCTGCTATTTAATGCTGGTATTCTGTGAGAACGTGGGCTATTCCCGGTTGAGCAGACATATTCGTACCACAACTATATAGCTGCAGTATGACGTATTTTTGTCATTTGTCATAAGCAAATGTAAATTTTCAGGTTTCTTATGTTACCTTAGTCATCTCAAACAAGATCTATGTACTAAACGATTTCTTAGAATCACTCTAGTCGGATATGAGGGTATGACTTACAGAGTTTTTGGTTCAAAACTAAACACACGAAATTTAAAACTAACATAATACGATAAAAATTACAAAAACAAATTTTCCTATTAGATAAATATCTAAACCTGTATTTAATAAACCTATATTACGGACTATATTTACGCGTTAATTTTACTAATTCCCGACACATCAGGTGTTTTTCAGCATCCATGTTCACGGGAAACTGCCGCAGTTTTTATTCAATTTGTAGTGTAATCATTATCTAAATCAGTTCAACCTATTATAAGCCTACAGGTATTTGAAAAAACTTTACTGACACAGTTTAAATATAATAGAAATTTCGTAACCTTTAATATAAATATTGAATTATTGACGAATTGCATAAACAACTCGATTTAAAAATAACCATTTGGTTTGGAAGATCTCGTTTTGTGCCAAGTGTCTATTGTTCGTTTTTGAATACACAATATTGTTAACTAAAACAAAAAGCAATTTATTATAACAATGTCATCTAAAGTTATGGTATTTAAAAATAAACCATGCCATTTTAGACGTATATAGGTATGTGAAGTACTAGTCTATGTACCTATGAAGTGGGGGAAATCCAAAAGGGAAATCAGTTAATGCAGAATGGAGCATATTCTAAGCATTTAGTTCTTCATCCTTCTTGTAATTTTCACTGCCTCATTAGTTTAGTGGTTGTAAATGCGACGGCTGATCATGAGGTCCCGGGTTCGAATCCCGAGTCGGGGAAAAACATCAGTTATTGAGTTCAATCGTCAAGAAATTCTGTCTCTCCCCTATGCTTCGGAAAGCACGTAAAGCCGTTGGTCCTGCGTCTAATCTCTCTCCAGTCGTGTCGGTTTACCGTCCCATCTGAATATGAGAGTTCAGGAATAGAGAGTTCACCCAATAGTAGTATAGTCTTTATACGCCCCACTGCTGGGCAGAAATATTCTCTCGTTTCTTATAGAACTATGGAGAAATTAGATACCAACACCAGAGAGTGTTGGCGGAATTCAAAAATGATTTCGAAATATTTTATTTCTTAGACATATACGTGGTAGAGCCACGCTGCAGCTATATTATGGTTATAGCACAAATGGGTCGGCTCGACCGTGGTAGGACCACGCTATTACAGAATACCAGCGTAAAATAGCAGCTTAATACTGCTGTGTCTCGTATGATGATTGTAGAGAACCGGTGACTCTTTTAACTTGAAACGAGACATTCCATCGTAGTTCTCAGAGGTGACAAAGCATCTGCATTTAGATTCTTAATTGAAGATAGATCTAGATTTCTATGGGCAACAGCATCTACTTAACATCAAATGGACTGTGTGCTCGTTTGTCACATCCTTTCAAACATCCATCACAGTGTATAGAAATCCACTGGTAAACATAGGCCTCTTAAGATTGGGGAATACCCAGAGGATAGCACCCCTCATAAGGGGGGATATTTTCCATGGTTGCCACGCTTTGTAGGCAGGTAAGCAACCGCAGTTGTTTCTAGTTGTTATTAAGAACACGCTGGTGTTATGGTTTGTTTCCCTCTATCGCCTTTTACGACTCCTGTGGGATGGTATGGGGTAACGGATATTCATACACCGCCACTACACGTAATGATTTCCAACCACAACTGAGTAAATAAGGACTTACTCGTAAAACTGCAATTAACAATTTCCTTAAGGGACAACGAGCACGGGTTGATCGCGTTGGAGGCAAACTGTGGACTTTCCTCCACTCTTTTTAATCAAATAATGTAATCCCTTTATTAATAAGGACGAATTACGTATTAAGAATTTTTTATAGAATTCGGGTGACAAACGAGCACACAGTCCGCGTGATGGTAACAGGTTTCTGTGGCATATAGACATTCATATCTATCCTCAGTTTTTTAAAAATGGTCTCCGGTTCTCTACAATCACCATACGAAACATAGCAACATGAAACGGCTATTTTATGCCGGTATTCTGTAGTCCTTCGTAGGTCGAGCCGATCCATTCCACCATAATTAACACAGTTTTCGCAGACGCGAGGAGGTTGTTCACCGATTTCATGGAATCGTCTGAACCGATTTAAATAATTTTTATATTAAACTAGGGATCAGCTCCGGCTTCGCACGGTTAATTTTTGAATCTCGACAACAGCACCACCTACCGTCTTCAAATATGAATCGAAACCAACTAGGGACCGATTAAAACACACATGAATTCTTATTTCACAAACGATATGTGAAATAAGAATAGAAGGGGAGTTGATCGAGCAAGTAGATGAGTTTGTATATTTGGGTTGCGTATTTAGCAGGGATGGGAGATATGATAAGGATATAGAACGACGAGTGAACGCAGAAAACAGAGTAAATGGGGCCCTGCACTCTATTGTGAAGAGTCAAAATGTGTCAAAAAAGGCACGTATGGCAATTCACAATGCTGTGTTGGTCCCTACTTTAACGTATGGTAGTGAAAGTTGGGTGTGGCAGAAGAAGCACGAGAGTAGAATAAATGCAGTAGAAATGCGGTCGTTAAGGAGTATGTTAGGGCTGAATCTGAATGACAGGGTGAAGAATTGTGTGATAAGAGAAGAGTGTGGTTTGCAAGATGATGTTGTGACCAGGATTAAGAAAGGAATGCTTCGGTGGTTTGGTCATGTGGAAAGAATGGATGAGGAAAGAGTGACAAAGAAAATTTATGTTGCAGAAGTGAATGGCAGAGTCGGAAAGGGACGTCCTAGGCGAAAATTTATCGACCAAATTGGCGATTTATTGAAAACGGGCCAAATTAGGAGTACCCTTAACCGACGAGCATGCATGCGTAGATGTATGGATGTGAAGGAGGCGAGAGAGGTGTGTCAGGATCGTGCCAAATGGAAGTCTGTAGTCTCTGCCTACCCCTCTGGGTGACAGGCGTGAGTGTTTATGTATGTTTATGTTTAAAACACACACACAACAAATTTCGTCAAAGTTGGTTAAGCCTTTTTTAAGTTTTAGCGAGACTCAGGCGCAGCAATCGATATTTATTTACATAAGGTAGGTTATTTATACTTTAGAGATACTCCTATATAAATTTAAGGAAAAATTAATTCATAAGCATGGAAAAATAGGTGATGCTGGTTTTAATATAACTATTTAGACGAAATTCTAGTTCAATCCCTTGAAGTCGATTTGTAAGTTTTATTGAAATTCAAATACTTAGTCATCGATTTTATAATCGAATGATTTATTATCAAAATCACATAAAGATGTTTTTAATAATATTTTATTTTTGTTTCCTTCAGTATGCTGCATATTTTTTAATTTATGGTCGTTTTTAATACGTGTTAGGCGTGGCTTAAACTTTGTTTTGTGTCTGAGAACGTTCCGTTTCAGTGAACTATACGAAGTTGTGTAAGCACATTGTTTTAATATCACATGTAATTGTTCGTGAATCTCATTGAATATGCGCACAGTCTGTTCATTTATGTCTGAGAGTAATTATCTTCAGGGCTTATTATTTTAAATGTGTAGGTAAACGTTATTGACAGCGCTACTTTTTAAAAATTTAAAAATATTTTATACCTGTCTAAACTAAACTTAGCAAATAGAACAAAGCAAAAACGCTCGACCTGGGTATGACCACGCTCTCACAAAATACCAGCGTAAAATAGCAGCTTAATACTGCCGTGTTTCGTAGGTGACTGGAAACTGGAGGACCCTTCCATTCCTTCTTAGTCCTCAGGCGTGACAACGCATCTGCATTTTGATTATTAATCGAGGATAGATGTAGATGTCTGTACGCCACAGCATCCACATACCATCACGTGGCCTGTTTGATTGTTTGTCACTCTTATTCTTTTAAAGAAAACTAAGCTCTGAGGTACTGTCAGTGCTCTGTAGATAATGGTGGGTGACTCTGCTTTTTGAAATATAAATACCATAATAAACTAACATCAAGTGTTCAAAATAATGTAGTTTTCCAACCCAATTATATCCTTTAATGTCTCAAAAAAGTGACAGCTCACAAATGTAACCAACATTTTTAGGATTTACTTGCCTCAATTCTTCCCTCCCTTTTCCACCATTGGATAACCAGGTGGTTGGTGGGTCCACGCCCCTTTGTTGTCGATATTTTAAGCATTCTAATTAAACGAAATGCTTCGTATTGCTTAATGCGTACAGCGATGGAGTGGAATAATCTATCGGCGTCCGTCTTCCCGTCAGATTACAATTTGGGCGTCATCAGGACAAAAATGTATA